CAAACAACATCCAAGATTTTACTGCCTATGTTTTCTTCTAGGATTTTTATGGTTTAGGGTCTAACATTTAAGTCTTTAATCCAGTTTGAATTTACTCTTCTTTGGGGTATAAGAAGGTGGTCTAGTCTCATTTTTCTGCATGTATCTAATTTTCCTAACTCTATTTATTGAATAAACTATCTTCAGCCCATTGTACATGCTTGCTTCCTCTGTCAAATAAAGGTGTGGGTTTATTTCTGGGCTCTCCATTCTGTTCTATTGATCAATGTGTCTATTTTTATGCCAGTACCATGATGTTTTGATTACTATGGCCTGATAGTACAGTATGATATCAGGTAGCATGATTCCTCAAACTTTGTTCTTCTTTCTCAAGATGGCTATTGCTATTTGGGGTCTTTTGTGGTTTCATATAAGTTTTTGAAATATTTGTTCTAGTCCTGTGAAATACATCATTGGTATATTGATAGGAATTGCACTGAATCTACAGATTGCTTTTCTCATAGCAAAGGAAACCATCATCAAAATACAAAGACAAACCACTAAATAGGAGAACATACTTGCTGATACATCTGATAAAGGTTTAATATCCAAAATTTAAATGAACTTATGAAACTCATACCAAAAAACCCAAACAATCCAATTAAAAAATGGGCAAAGGATCTAAATAGATACTTCTACAAAGAGGACATACAGGTGGCTAATACACATATGAAAAGATGCTCAACATCACTTATCATCAGAGAAATGCAAATTAAAACCACAATGAGATATCACCTCACACCCGTCAGAATGGTTACCATCAATAAATGAACAAACAATAAGTGCTGGCGAGGATGTGGAAAAAGAGAAACCCTTTGTACTGTTGATGGGAATACAGATTGGTGTTGCCACTGTGGAAAGTAGTATGGAGTTACCTCAAAAAATTAATCGCTGCCTTAAAATCCAGTGATTCCACTTCTGGGAATTTATCCAAAGAAACCTGAAAAACTAGTTCAAAAGAATATAAGCACCCCTATATTCATTGCAGTGTTATTCACAACCCAAGATGTGGAAGCAGTCCAAGTGACCATCAGTAGATGAATGGATAAAACAACAATGGTATATTTACATAATGAAATACTACTCAGCTGTAAAAATGAAGAAAAGTTTACCCTTTGTGACAGCATGGGTGGACCTGAAGACCATTATGCTAAGTGAAATGAGCCAGTCAGAGAAAGACAAATACCATATGTGGAATCTAATGAACAAACTAAACTAACAAGCGAAATAGAGGCAGAGTCACATATAAAGAGCAGGCTGACAGCAGTGGGGGTAGGAGGTGGAAGATGAGGGATCAAAAAAACACAAAAAACTCTTGGACATGTATTGAACACGTACAACAGTGTGATGCTTGAGGGGAGAAGATGGGTGGGTGGAAGTGGATGAGGTACAAGGGGGATAAATGGTAATGAAAAAATACAATAAAAATAAACAATTTTTTATAAATAAACAAATTTTTTAAAAAATAAACAATTATTTTTAAAATTACAATTTTAAAAATAAACAAAAATAAAAATTCAGAAGGGAACTGCAATATATACTGGGATCCACTAGATGGCAATGAATGGCTTTATAAACAGATATCTCTTCACAGAAATTCAAACTGTCTAAAATCAAACAAGAGTATATTGTAAGAGTATATTATAAACTCTCCAGAAACAAAGAGAGAAGGGATTAACTTATTCTTCATACTTAAGTCATTACTGAAACTTATAAGGTAAAGAGAAAGCAGATCTTCTTAACTCCTTTCTTTTCTAACCATAGGCATGTGTCATCTTTGTTAGGACATTCTGTTAACTGTTTACTGCCAGAGTGGGTTATTTCATAACAAGAAAGCAAACAGAATTGTTTGCATGGGGTCCAATTCTGAATTGAGATAATTCAACACCCAAAACACCCTAACCATCAATCAATTGTACCAAGTCAATGATTCTTAAACTTTTTCATCACGAAGAGCCTACATATTCTGTGATATTATTGCTCCACTAAAAAAGAAAAAAATCTATTTCTTTTCCAGCATGATATGTTTTTTCAGATTACATCAACATTATCCTTTTTAATAATAAGACTAAACTATCTTTATTTTTAAAGTTATGACTATTCAAAAAATTGTAAAGAAAAATATAAAAATCATCTTTAAACAATAAAAAATGTTAAAGTGTTTCTGTCAAAATTTAGTTGAAAAATATTTTTCAACCCAAACTGAAAAAATATAGATGCATCTTTTTATTTTTCAGTTTAAAATATTTTGAAATCTTTTCCTGTTAATAACTATATTATTACATTAATAATCACTAGCATTCAATTGTTCACAGGTAAGTATTTGCAAAATTTATACAGAAAGTGTTCTGAGGGAACATATTTTAACTGAAATGTCTGGCTTTCTGGACAATACTATCCTTCACAAAATTGACAGAAATAGCCCCATTTAAAGATGACTAATGATAAGAGAGGGACCTATGCAGAGAAAAGGAGAAAGACAACAAAACATAACAGAACCTAAAAAATGAGCTGATGAGAAACGCACATCGAAAAATTTTTCAGGAAGCAGAGTAGTTCAACAAACACTTAGGCAATGACCTGAAAACAGTGAAGAATTATACGACCTCTTTAAGAAAGTATCTCAAGATAGCAAAAAGAACACTTTGAAAACTGCATGGGTGACATGGAGAGAAGGCTTTTTAGAGAAAGTCAAAAAGTAATGCAAAGACCGAAGTTGAAAGTGAGTTCACACAAAATGCCAGTTATGGGAGGGAGATACTCTGTGTTTTTTAAGATACGCTGAGATCCTAATAAATGTGCCAGAAATAATTCTTCAAGTATCAGAAGAAAACTTAGTTGACAATAAGGGGAAAGCCAAATTTTTAAGTAAAACAATGGATGGCATGCTCCATGCAAAACTGACACACAACTATTACACATCTTTATGAAATTACTGGAGTCAAAGATGAACAAATTTTAAAAAAGGTGTCTTCCAAAATAAAGCATCTCTGAAAGACTTACAGTAAAAAAGGATGTAGCATATAAATTTAATGAAGATATATTATGAATCAAATAAAATGGTATCAAAAATCATGAAGCAGAAATTGCCCCCAAAGCTCTGGAAAGATATAAAGAAATACAATTACAGTAAGAGAATTAAGTTATCTCTCTCAGTCCAATATAGTTCAAGTACTCAAAAAAAAGGATATGGAAGATCTAAATAAAATTATTATTTGGAAGGCCCTTAAACACATACGAGGTGTTATGTTTCATACGTCGCTAATACAAATACTTATAAGTACTTTCAAATTGCAATGCTGAAGGATCTCTTCTTACATACAAAACTATTGTAGCTTTTAAAAAGTGGAATATGTAACTAACAGCACAACTGAATACATTGACCAATAACTGTGTTTTAGTAAAATGTTCCAGCACATTATTTAACAGTCTCCAAATTTATCCAATTATTGCAGACGCCATGACAATAAATCATCCTACTTTTAAGTGACTTTGGCAACAGACTAGAAGTAGGCTCATGACAGAGATCGTTGAAATTACTTTTCTAATTTGCCCATAGCTATATAATAAATATTCCAATCACTTCTATATCATTACCGCACACTGCACTAGCAAAGAAGGTACTGATATATTGTTACTGTCTGGTAGAACTGGTATTTAAAGAAAAGCTAATTACTTTCAAGATCTAACAAGCAGCTATTTTCTTCCTCAAAGAACAATTTCTATTACAGTTCTAAATCTATGATAGATACACCACACTTATTACCAGTTTTCTTTCTAATAGTGGCATCGAAGGCCATTTTTCAACCAAATCCATTGTCAATTTTAGTCAGGCAACAAAGTCAAAAGCTCCAGGCATGTCATATCCACTGCCCTTCCCACATGACCGAAAGTCTTGCCCACCATCGCCAGGCTCTGCTTTATTATAACTCATGGGCTTCAAGGCAAGATGAGGTGTCCTCTAGAAGTCAATGACTTTGATATGTCAGGCTCAGTCAGACAGAATGAAAGACAGGAGAAAAATCAGTGAAACCTAGCATAGGTAGAGGCAAAGCAGATCCACAGAAAAGCTTTTCTTAGGAATCCAGGTAACAGGGAAATCTAGAGACAGAAAGTGGGTGACAGTTCATTCATTTAGGGTTAGAGGACAGAGGGATGGAGGCAAGGGCTTTAGGATATGGATTTTCTTTTGGGGTTATTAAAATAGCCCAAAATTGAGAGTGGGAATGGTGGCATATATTGGTGAATATATTAAATATCACTGGAATGTATATATTTTTTAAAGATTTTATTTTTATTTATTTTTAGAGGGGGAATGGAGGGAGAAAGAGAGAGAGAAACATCAATGTGTGGTTGCTGGGGGTCATGGCCTGAAACCCAGGCATGTACCCTGACTGGGAATCGAACCTGTGACACTTTGGTTCACAGCCCACGCTCAAGCCACTGAGCTACGCAAGCCAGGGAGAAATGTGTATTTTAAATGAATGAATTACATGGTATGAGAATTACATCTTAAAGCTGTTTTTGAAAAAAGGCAGGGGAGAAGCCAGGTAAAAGGTGAGCCAACAGATCCCAAGCAGGGAAGAACATGAGACTCTTACTCAAGAGCAATCAGACATGAGGTTGGCCAGGGGTTCACATAATTAATGCTGTCATAAAAACCATCTTTTCTCCAGGTTGCCCACAAGAAGACTGCTATTCTTACAGGCCAAACTACTGCATATCCATCAAAATTATTTACATCTTAAAGGCAAGACCAATAAGAAAATTATTCAACTTTTAACTGGTTAAGGGTTTCAGTCTGACAAAGGCTAATACCATGAACCAGGCCATCTTATGTTTGTAAAAATTTGAATCAATAGGATCCATACTATTAGACCCTTTGCTAAGAGAGTTAAGCTGAATTCATGCTTCCAAAGAAATCCCATTCCCAGAAGTAAACAGCACAGGCTGAGACTCACAGTTTGCAATGTCACCTTCAAGCTGCAGAATCTGAGGAACGGGCATCGTGAGGACAACAATATCAAACTGCTCAGGGGAGCCTGTTTCCTTGGAGACTTCCCACTTGTCATTTCTCAGGTTGATCTGGGTCACACATTGTCTGAAACAGATATCAGCACCTGTTCCAAAAGCAAAATCATGTTCACATAAGCAGAATTTTCCTTGTGAATAAAGGGGGAGAGAAGAGTGACCAATTGGGTCCGCCTGGGTGAATAGATGGTAGAATTTGTCCTCTACGTCCCCTGAGGTTCACTTTCTTTACTTTTATTCTCATTAAGTGGGAATTCCTCTCCTTCTGGCACTCCTGGACCTACCTATCAATGCCTGCTCTGGGGAAAAATATGGTTACAATCAATAATAATAGCTATATTTTATTAAGCATCAGCTACATGGTGAGACTACACAAAGCACTTGATACACATTATACCAATTAATTTCACAGGTAAGGAAACAGAGCTGGAAATGCCATGCCATAATTTAAAGCTACATCTGACTTTGAACTCATTATCATTATAAAGCAAGTATACATTTTAGTAAAGGTGTTAATTCTTTTCTGTAGTAACAGCAAGAAAGAGCAATATCCCCTATTAAAGGAATTATTATTCCCTATTAAACCTGAAAAAAATCTCTGTAAGAGAAATCCAAGTCCTTATCAATGGATCAACTACCTTAATTAAGAAGAAATTAACAGAAACACAATCTAGAATATCCTCTTATTGCATTTTTCGTCTTTGCACTTAGCCCAAAGGTATTTTAGTAATTATTTGAATAGGTATTTGATTAATATTTTCTTCCCTTCTACTCTGTAATTAAGTCCGTTTTGTTTCTGTATATAGCATATAGCCTCTACAGTACAGTCCTTGCCACATACCAGGTATATAATCAATGCTCATTTTAGGCAGCAATTTTCAGCCTTTTTCATCTCATGGCACACACATACTAATTACTAAAATTCTGCAGCACACCAAATAATATATCCTATGTTTTGCCAACCCAACAAAAATACAGGTATAATTTTGATTCATTCACACTGGAAGGCTATTGTTGTGTTGGCTGTTGTCATTTTTTATTTGACAATCTAATATTCTTCAGAGACTGCCCACTGCACATAAGACAAAGTATAAAATCTTTAATATTGCTTACAAAGCCCCTTATGATCTGGCCCCTGTCTTAGTCTTGAACTTCATCTCATCACTTTCTTCCTCATTCGCTACTCTCCAGTCACGATGACCTTCTCTAGTTCCTCGAGCATACCAACTTGATCCTAACATCAGAACAGTTCCAATTTCATGTGTGCACTGCATGGAATTATCACCACTCATATCTTGGCCTAGTTTCTTCTTGCTTACCTTTCAGGTACTCATGAAAACAGCAGTTGGTCAGTGACACTTTCTTTGACCCATCTCCCCTCTCATACCTCTGCAACCAGTTAGATCTTCTTATATGTTCTCTCATAAGGCTCTCATTCCTTCTTAGCATTTATTAAGTGACTTTGTGTATATACATAATTAGTCTTTCCTCTCTGTTAACAAAAGTAGGAACCACATCGCTTATTTACCACTGTTTCTCCAGCACATAATGTTTAATAAAAAATTTTAAAATATGTAAATAGCTATAAAGATATCAGAATATTAAAGTTTAAAATTTTATAAAAGCCAATATGTTTGTGATATATGTTTACTCAACCTTCTTCCTGGCCTTCCTCTATTTGATAGAGAAAATCTATATCCATTTTTCTACCATAACTTCCTACAAACAGGTTTTAGGGTGCAGCAGTTCAGAATTGATCAGACAAAACCTGAGGAAATGTAAACAATGTCTAACTAAATGCACTGCTTTAGAGAGAGAGAATAGAGATAGATTTATTATCAACATAGTCCAAACACGTTATAGAGTGGTTTATGTAAAAAGTCCCATAAGCATATATTTTTCAAAACAATAAATATAAACATGTCACTTGGTTCTGTGGCTTTGAGAAGGATGCTCATTAGACAGGTCGACAACTCCCCCCCAATTCCTCATCCTGCTTCCCCCCACCCACCATGCCCTTGCAACCAATGCTGAATTGGAGATGGCCTTGGGAGTGCAAGTGGCTGATGAAGTATGTTGCATTTTTATGACATGAAAGATAGGAAGTGTTCCACACTAGAAGAAATCAAGAAAAGAAAGAAGGCTGTCATTTTTTGTCTCTGTCATTTTTTGTCTCTGTGCAGACAAAAAATGCATCACTGAGGAAGGCAAAGAGAACTTGATTCTTGGTTGGAGATGTTGGTGTAGCTATTACCATTCCTTTTAAACATTTTGTGGGAATGCTTCCTGAGGAAGCTTCTCACTATGCTTTCCTTGATCCAAGCTTTGAAATCAAGGAACCCAGAAAAGAGGAAATGCCATTTTTATTTGTTTGTCTGCTTTTTTGCAGGCACCAGAACTAGCACCACCTCCAAAAAATAAAATTGATGCAAGCTCCAAGGATGCAATCCAAAAGAACTTTCAAGGCATAAAACATGAATGCCAAGCAAATAGGCCAGAAGACCTGGGCCTGTATTGCTGAAAGGCTAAGTGGGTCCTTAATTGTAGCTTTTGAAGGATGCCCTGTGTAGATCATTGTTCAACGACGCAAATCAAAAGGTTTCGTGTTTAATGTTATCCTCTTGCTCTATGAGTAAAGAAAATATATTTAGGCCAGGGCCTCAATGAGAAGGAGATATCTTGTCATCTGTTAAACTAAATATTCTACAAACACATGCAAACAGCCCTAAATAAATCTAAAATCTAAAGTTTAAAAAAAGGATAAATATAAACATATATGAATAGATAAATAGAGACAGCCATGTAGATTAATAGATAGGTGCATAAACACTTTTCTGGAAGCATACATTGGAAGCTGTTATTAATGATTAGGGGAAGAAAACTAGCTATTGAATATTGAATAGGGAAATATCTATTTATAATTTTCTTTACAGTATTAATATTTAATTATGTGTATAATTTTTATTTTAAAATGCTAATTTTAAAAGAAGGCAGAGAAAATCCTATTCCCACCTGATTCTTTCAAGTAATGTTTAATAATTGAAGAAATTCCTTGAGGAGCCACAAAGTTCCGGTCTCCGTCTTTCACCACCATTCCTTCGATAGGAGAGGTCAGAGGCTTCAAAATGCCAAGAGCTAACAGTTCGTCATAAAAACTGAAATAAATCAATATATATAACATAATTATATGCTATAATTAGCTCTAACATACCATATTCTCTCACAAGAATTCTTAGAGATTATAATATTAAATAATAACCAGAAGTTGTCATATGATCAACTCGACGCATGTTTTGTGCTAATAAAACATAATTCGGGGGAAGAACAGAAATGTTTTGAGAATCCATAAATCTTCTGCTGACATTAATTGAAGGCCTATTTTCTTGTACATTTCCAAATAAATAAATAAGTTGGTGAAGATGAACCGGAAGTTATTCAGTACACTAGTTTTATTTAAGTTGGTTAGCATTTACTTCCAACACAGCTATTTCATCTTCCTCGGCACCAACAGAGCGATTCATACTTACTGGGCCATTTCTCTGTTCCATCTAACATCTCATTTGACCTTCACAACAACACTCTGAGGCATGTATTACAGTTTTCCCATTTTACCAGGTAAACCTTTTAATGCTGAAACCATCACAAATAATATCAAAATAATTTCACTATATTATAAGAAGCAAAGTTTAACCCTGTGAGGTATGGATAGTTTATTTTTACATCATACCGCTAGTAAGACTGATTCCACCCCTCACCTAACTCACCTGTGGTGCTTTTTGGCATAGTGAGGAGTGCGCGTGATGTACTGGGCACCCAGGTCGACCGTGCTCTGTGGGTTCTGAGGGCTGCTGGCGGTGGTCATTCTTCCCCCTTGAATTAATCCACAGCAAATGTCTCTGCATTAGAATACCCTTTTGCAATCGATGCCACTCACCCCATCTTACCCCAAATGGGTTACCTTACATCTATGTTAGAAAACATTGTTTTTTGAAGTTGAAGTTTTTGTCATCCAACATTGGTAGAAAACAGTTAAAAGAAAGTTTGGTCACTGTGTGATTTTTTAAAGAATGACACATGAATAACACAGCAGTGTTCAGTACTGTGGTGCGTACAGCTACTAATTTGAATGAAAGGAATGAATGAATAAAATAATGAATGAAATGTCAGAATGAATCAACCAGTGAATGCTTTCACTCTCTGAGTCAGGATTCATGGGAATAACTGGATCCTGTAAACTACATCTTCATTAGGTCTTGGTCAATGCGTTTTTTGGGATCCACATAATTTGGAGAAAACTGCAAAGGCACAGGCAGGCCGAGATGAAAATATTTATCGGCGACAGCGGTAGGCCCAAGCTCGGCAAACTCCGGTCAGGATCACTTCCAAGCCGCTGGGGCCTGGTGCGTACTGGCACACCGCAGCCAACCTAGCCGGGGTCGCGGCCTCCACCCTCCACCCCGCTCAGTCTCCGATCACGTGACCAGGCGCGCACTGCGAGGGCCGGACCGCGCCGGGGCTGAACTAGCTGCGTTTTCCCCGGACTTTTCTGGGTGAGGCCCGTGCTACCTCAGAAACCGGCGTCCGCGCTGGCTTCCTTTCCGGCGTTTGGCCGTTAGTCGACCCACCTGAGTCCCCAGCTTTGTCCCACACAACAAGATGTAAAGGACCGGCCGCCTCCTTCCTTAGCAGCGCAGCGCACAAGCTTCCTGTTAGCCCCGCGCCCACGATCAGCACCCGCGCCATGGCCGCTGTCTTCGCGGCGACCCTGCACGGCCTGCAATTTTTGACCAGGCGGCTGAGACCGAGGTAGCACTGTCCCCTGAGCAGTCCCGCCGGCCGGCCTGCAGGGGGCAGAGAGGAGGCGACCGGAGCTGAGAGGCAAGTCTGCCCAGTACCGAGCTGCAAACTTGCGCTTTCCCCTCGGTTGGAGGGCCGGGAGCCGGGAGCCGGCGTGTAAAACCCCGCTGGCGCCGGTAGATTAAGCTGCAAACTCCCGCCCGGCCCTCGCTTAGAAAAGCCTGGAAATCGTATAGGTTAGTGTGACAGTCCGCCTCTACACTGGGCTGGTGCTGACCACTGCGGAGACCCAGCCCAACGTGCCTGCAGGGTAGCTGTCACTGCTTGCTAGGGCCTTTGCTCTCAATATTCTAAGTCTGAAAGTAGGGATCCGAGGGGACATTCCAGCGAGCCTCCCTCCAGTGCCTTAATGGCCGCTATTCACATCATAGAAAAAGATTTTGGAATCAAGAAAGTTTTTTTTCTTAAACTAGCCCTTGGGCTTTGTGTTTATGTATCTTTTTGAATTTCAGTTTCTCCATCTGTGAAATGGGAATGATAACGTCTACATTTCAGATTTATGAAGATGAAAGATACTTAATTCACCGAAACACTTTGGATCACTCAGCTCTTCAGTAAATAATGTTTTATGTCATAACACATTATAAATGCTCTAAGGGATATAAAGATTACCACTGTTCCGCGCCCCCAACATGGTCCTGGAAATTCTCAGTGAAACAACAAAAAGCAATGAGAAGTCTGAACTATTAAAAAAATAATTAAGTTGCACTGAATTGTAGATTAAAAAGTTTACCTAGTAAACTCTAGGGAAACAATAGCTATAAGAACTAATAAGAAAGTTGACAATGGTAGCCACTTATAATGAAAACATTTACAAATTATAAGTCCTACTTTCTGTCCACATCATGAAGAAATCACCATGCATTAAACTGGTGATGGATTAATATTACCTATATTCAATAAAAGAACTAGAAGAAGCCCTGGCTGGCATAGCTCAGTGGATTGAGCCCGGGCTGCGAACCAAAGTGTTGCAGGTTCAATTCCCAGTCAGGGTACATGCCTGGGTTGCAGGCCATGACCCCCAGCAACCGCACATTGATGTTTCTCTATCTCTTTCTCCCTCCCTTCCCTCTCTAAAAATAAATAAATAAATAAATAAAATCTTTTAAAAAAAAAGAACTAGAAGAAAATACAGGTGAACATATATAGTCTAAGAAGGCATTTCTAAGCATAAAAATAAAAGGTAGAACTGAGAAGAAAAACGGAATGCACAAACATTACAACTTGTATGTTAAAAACAATATAAAATAACAATAGTGAACAAATTTTTAACACCTATGAAAGATGAAAGTTTGATAATTTTATTATATAAAGTCTTTAAGACATAATTAAATGATAATCCAAAGAGAAAATATTCCCAGTCTTAATAGAATCCTTGAACAGAAATACGGAAGTCCAATAAACATATAAAATGTTTATATGTTTATATAAAACATAAACTGTTTATATTTATATAAAACATATAAAATAATGTTTAACTCTTCCACATTCAAGTACAAATTAAAATGAGATGCCACTCTATTTGTTGGGAACTGCTTTTTTAAAATGTTAAATGTCTACACTTGGCACGAGTGTAACCAAGCACACTTTAATGTTATTACTGGTAGAAATGTAGTAGGTTTACTGGAATAGAGTTTGAAAATATATCAAATTAAAACTATGCCCTTTAAAAGAGATATTCCAGGTCTAGACATTTATCTTAGGTTATCTAACCTATAACCTAAGATACAGGTTAAAATGTGTTTACCTCAATGTTATTAAAAACAGTGATGTATACAACAGAGGACTGAGTAGATTATAGCTATTCATATACCTATATAAAACTTCTTTAAAAACATGGTTTTGAATATATAAAAACATGGGAAACTACATATGCTGTAATACTGAGAAAAAGGGCTACAAACTAGTAAAATCCCAGATTCTTGTAAACACACAGATAGATACAAACACATGCAGTTACAGAGAAATATGAAAGGAAGCACACTATTAATTTTAAATGTTTTATAAGGACCCAGATTTTTCTAACCACTTATTTATTTGTTAGTTAAGCTAATATGCCAAACATAATAAGATAATATGTCCCTGCCTTATTAGTTGTTTATAGTTTAAGACATTTGTCTGAAATTGAAAGCTTCAATAATACGATTCACAACAACTGTGGGGAACCAAGCCCCCAGGAAGGGGTCAAGAGTTAGGGTCCTGCATTGTGAGAATGATGCTTGGGCCTGTTCCTTGGCCTCGGGGGAGGTGACCTGACACTACCCCGGCCTTGTTTGTTATCGGATTGTTCCCAAGAGAAGGACGGGGAGGTGCCGGCGCCTTGGGGCGGTGCGTCGTGTCCTTGGAGTTAATCTAAACCAGGATGTTCTGTACGTGACCTGAAGGGGTGTGTAAACTTTCTTGAACAAAGACTCTCATCGTGTAGCAAGCATTCTATTTTTAGAACATCTCACTATATAATGACAGGAGTTTTCAATAAACTTGCCTTTTGCCACCAGAGCATCTGGCCGCTCTCTCTTTTCAGTCCGTCACTGCGCGTCTCGAACCCACTGCCTCGCTGGCCGCGGCAAGTGGCGCCCGAACGTGGGGCCTGAACCAGAGGTCTTCGGGGGACCACCAGAGTCCTGAGATTGACGACAGCAGAGCCTGACAGGACCGCTGCTACAGGGGCCCGGTAAGTACACGAAAGAAAAAGAAAACGAAAGTAGCAGGGAGTAGACGAAGAGAGCTAGTAGAAATGGGGGTTTCGCTTTCTACCGAGAGGGAACTCTTTGAGCAGGTACTGTGTTCCCTATTGAGGGGACGGGGAATTTCCACGTCGAAAGGGCAAATCCATCACTTTGTAGATTTCGTTCAGCAGATCTGCCCGTGGTTTCCAGAAGAAGGGACTATAAATATAGATACGTGGAAGAAAGTGGGGGAGCGCATCAAAGAGCATTATCAAGCTAATGGCCCTGAGAAGACACCTGTAGATGCGTTCTCTCTTTGGTCTCTTGTTCGAGACTGCTTAAGGGGGGATTCTGAGCTTGCCAAGTGGGAGCGCAGCACGCGGGGCAGTCTCCGTGCTGCTCGCCCGGCGGAGAATCTATATTCCCCACCACCTCCGCCGACCGCACCTCCCCTAAAATGGGAACCGCTGAAGTATGATCAGCCAGAAGTGAACTTATCGGAGAAATCGCGGGCTCCCGATCCAGCAGAAGTTGATTGGGGGGACCTTGCTGAGCAGGCAGCATCGTATCACCCCCCTCAGGAGGTGTTCCTCGCCTCGGCCGAGGATGAGAAGCCGGCCGGCGAGGCGGATCCAACCCTGAAAGAATTATTGTCTGTGCTTAAAGAATTAAGGGATGAGCGAGTTCAAAGGGTTAGTAAGCAGGAGGTTCAAATGCCCCCAGCCTCAGCTCCCTCTCCTCCAGACCCCCTGTTTGCCGCTGGGGTGCCGCTCATAGCCCGTGTAGGACATCGGCTTAACCCTCCACCAGGATTTACTAGGCACAGTTCTCCGTTACAATTAGCATTGCAACAGGCGCGCCAAGCGGGGGACCCCCTTGAGGGATTCCCGCAGTCTCAATTGTTTCCCATTATTAGAAGGCAGGGGCAGAATGATCAGGGAGAGGTTCTTGACATTCGTGATTATGAGCCCATTTCCTATAAGGCACTAAAGGAGCTTAAGTTAGCCTGTGCCCAATACGGAGCTACTGCTCCTTTCACAATTGCTACCATGGAGACTATTGCTGGGAATGTTTTACCTCCTCATGACTGGAAGACCATATGTAAGGCGGTGTTGACAGGGGGGAGACTATCTTTTATGGCTGGCGGAGTATTATGAGCAGTGTGTAGGTTATGCAGGAACAGACGCAGCTCGCCGGGATAACCTTACTGCAGAACAATTGCAGGGGGGCAGGAGATTATTCAGGTGCTGAACGCCAATTGTTATACCCGGCGTCGGCATATGATTTCATCAGATGGGCTGCTACTGCGGCCTGGAGGAGACTACCTAAATCAAGAGTCCGAAGAGAGGAACTCTCTAAAATTCGGCAGGGGCCTGATGAGCCATTCCAAGATTTTGTAGCTCGGCTCTTGACGGCCACTCAGCGGGTCATTGGAGACACTGACGCTGCGTCCATAGTAGCCAAGGAGATGGCTTTTGAAAATGCCAATACCGCCTGCCAGGCTGCCATGAGACCGTGGAAGGGTCGCGCTACCTTAAATGATTATATCAAGTTGTGCGCTGACATTGGGCCTGGGTATGTTCAGGGCCTTACTATAGCTGCAGCCTTAAAAAAACAAACAGTTAATGAGTTCTTGGCCTCTAGAAGAGATAACAAGAGAAGGAAGCCCGGACCGCCTGGGAGCTGCTATAATTGTGGGAAGCTTGGCCACATTGCTCGGCAATGCAGAGGAGGTACCCCTCAGAATTCAGGTTCCGCACAGCCAGCTTCGGCCCGGGCTCCTAGTTTATGTCCCCGATGCAAAAGAGGCAATCATTGGGCCAATGAGTGTCATTCCAAAAGAGATAGAGAGGGGAACATCCTCCCGTCACAGGGAAACGGGAGGAGGGGCCAGCCTCGGGCCCCGCAGCAAATATACGGGGCAATGAGCAATCCCGTGCTGGATTCACCTCCAGTATCCAGCGGCCAGACGTTTCCCAGCTTAAGCGAGCCACCCCCAGGGAGCGCCGGCTTGGACCTCTGCCTCTCCCAGCATGTAACCTTGACCCCTGAGATGGGCATGCAGGCTCTACCTACTGGCACATATGGGCCTTTGCCAGAGGGCACGGTCGGGTTACTTTTAGGAAGAAGCGGTTTTACCATGAGGGGACTTTTTTGTAGCTCCTGGAATAATCGATTCTGATTATACGGGAGAAATAAAGGTTATGGCAAAAACAGAAAAAGTGATTATTAACCTACCCTCTGGCACCAGGATTGGGCAACTTGTTCTGCTTCCTTATCAAACTTTTGGACAGCCCTCCCTACAGG